AAATAGACACATACATATATATAAATAATACTTCATAAATAACATTCCAAGGTCTCTCTTTCTTAAGCCCAGCTTCAAGAGGTAGTTTACTAAAAAGGACCTCATTCACTGATTCGTCTTAAAAAAACCATTGAGGCAGAAAGATAAAGGTATTATTCCTCCCCTTTAAAAAACCTTTTAATTAATTAACTATTTTTTTTGGGGGGGGGAGGGTACTGGAGATTGCACTACTGAGCCACATGCTCAGCCTTTTGTGTTTCATTTTTGAGACAGGGTCTTGCTAAGTTGCTGAGGCTGCCCTTGAACTAGAGATCCTTCTGCCTCAGCCTCCTGAATGGCTGAGATTACCGGGGTGCGCCACTGTGCCTGTCTATTCCAGCTCTCTTGAAAACAATAAAACTGAGGTCCCAGAAACTTATCCTATTTGATGAAGGGTCCAAGAACAACTTAGAAGCAGAAGAGACATAGAGGGAATGAAGTCTGTGGCTTCTAATTCCAAGTGCTGCTGTGTTTTCTTCTGCCTTAGTTAACCCATCTGTAATGTGGGTAGAATCTTTTTTGGTAGCCACAGCCAGTAGCCCTGTGGCTCTCCTTAAGAATGTCATGAAGAAGAATAATTAAAATGATTGGTACTCTGCAAAGTATAGGGTGTTCTCTAACAAATAGCCTCCTATGTCAGTGCTTCTCTTACAAAGAGGGTAAACATTCATTTAGAATTACAAAGGCTCAGCCCATTCTCAGCACGTGACTGAGAGTAAAGAATTCGACTCCTTCATGTACACGGTACATACGGACTGTCACCACCTCACAGAGGAGTGCACCCCACCGCGGAGGTTAGGTTTTATGAAATCTGGAATTCTGTCATCGAGGGGAGGCCCCTGGCCATGTGCACCGCACTGTCCACCTTTGTGGCAATAAGCAGCTCTGGGTGGGCGGCCGAGGTGAAGTAGTTCATGTCACTGTGACTTTCCCAGAAGAAGATGAGGTTGGTGTCGCTCCCTGTGATGATTTTTGGTGTCTCTGGCATCTCCTGGGATAAAGAGAACCGAATTCTGTTAGAGGACAGGAAGATGCTTCCCCGGGGAGCAACCCTCTAGCACGGTGACTCCAACGTGACAATGCGGTTTCTTCATTCATTTGCTCGTGAGTCAGGCATTTCCACATGCCTCTCGGAGGCCTGGCCCCACTTATTCACAGGAGTTGATTTTCTTAGTTAATTGGAAAGAAATTTTAATTAGTCATGACCGCCAATGACACTGGTGTCTCACTGTGTCCAGGGGAGCCGGGGACAAGCATCGATTGCTGTCTTCACCAAAGGCCTACGGTGGGGATTCTTAGCCCTCTAAGCACGGTGACCTCGAATAGTGTAAGTCACACCTGAGGGGAGCCATTTAGCATTTAGACGGCATTTATTTCCATATTTAAGTCAAAAAATTAAAGGTTAAACATACTCAAACACCTTCCCAGTTATTCCAGGAACCGAATCTTTGAAAAGGATCTCTTTAGACTGAGCTCCTCCTGTGAGTGAACCGATACGGGCAGTACTTTCATGGAAAAATGAATTTCACTTTTCAAGTTGAGACACTTCTTCCCTACTCTCTTATTTATTTATTGGGTACCAGGGATTGAACTCAGGGGCACTCGGCCACTGAGCCACATCTCAGCCCTGTTTTGAATTTTATTTAGAGGCAGGGTCTCCCTGAGTTGCTTAGCGTCTTGCTTTTGCAGTGGCTGGCTTTGATCCTCCTGTCTCAGTCTCCTGAGCTGCTGGGATGACCACACCCAGCTTCCCTACTCTTTTAAATCTGAAAGAAATAAGTATTCCTCTGAGGTTCCCTTGAGGTTTTCAATGTAGGCGAAGATTTTATTTCTCAAATTTATTCCTCTCCTACCTTTAGCCATCTCAGCAAATGGAGTTCCTCTTCTATTTCCTGTTGGGTATCTCTCTAACTAGGACCCATTCTAATTCTTCACAGCCTCTCTTTTGCTCTGCTGCATGACCACAGTCATAGCCCCCAACCTGGCCTCTTTGCCTTCTCCTCTGCCTGCCTTCCGGTCCCTTCTTCACGTAAGAGATCTAAGGGAGGTCGGGGCACTGCACTGTCTGAACCCGCCTCCAGTGGCCCTTCGCTGTCCCTGAAATGAAATCCAAATGCAAGCTCTACAAGCGCTGGCCTCTGAACGTCCTTCCTCTTTCTCACAGTGCACCGGCTCCAAGGGACCTAAGCTTCTTGGGATCCTCAGAAGACTAAGGTCTAAAAGGCTGAGGACTCTGACACACCCTGTCTCCATAGCTGCTGGCGCTCTGTCTGAACAAACAGAAGGCTCCATAAGCAATACTTGTTGAATACAAAAAAGGACGAAGCTGCTGCCCTCGGCTGTGGAGACCGTTTTCATTAGAAGGGATCCTGTGGCAGGAGTTCTAGCTGGGGAGAGGAGGGGCTGGATTTGACCTTTGCCTACTTATCAGTAGAGAACAGCTCTGTGGCTGCAATGGGCTGGGTATATACGTCTGTTCTCTCCACGGGATGAGGGGATAGGGTGAGGGATGATGGAGCCACCCAGGAATAGAGAGGCACTGGAGGACTCAGAAGGCCACGGTCTGCTTCATGCTCTTAGCAGGTGATGGGTCCTCTCTGACCTCAGTTGCTTCCTTCAGTTCCTGGAGGCAGACCCCACTGTCTCTATGCTGAGGACCATGTAGGATGGACCGCGGCTGTCAGTAAGGGGGGATGGAGTAAACAGATACCCGGGGCTGGGAGCAGAGCAGGGTCAGCCAGACAGAGGAATAAGAAGCCAGAAGGCAATTGATCTCCTCTATTCTCTCTCTCAGATGCTGCTCGGGTTGCCTCTGAGGACAGGTAAGAAGTCTGAGAGAGGTAGGGACCGTGGGAGGAAGGAAAGAGGACCAGGCCATGCTGCTGGGGGTGTCTGCCTGTTGGGATCCTTTATAAACCACAGGAGGTCAAGGAGGCAAAGCCAGACAAAGACAACTGACCTTGAGCAACACAGGTTCGTCTTCTTCTTGGGCACTCACGAAGAGATGCGTTTTAGAGATTCTTAGCGTCACTGGAAATTTGGAATCCTCTGTGGTTGAAATGTAGGCACCCATGTCGAATTTCACTGGTAGAGAAAAGAGCCAAAACCAGAAAATCAATCCATTGTATTTACTGTTTTTGTATAAGATCATGTGTTTATTGGGGGTGGGGGTGGGGAGAGAAATTAGGTCTCCAGGCAGGTCAATGTTTAATGTTTTTAGAATTTTCTATGTCAACACACTGCTCAGGGACTCCATGAGCATTTGTAGGCCCCCTTGTAGATGTTACGTTGGTGGAATGAGATCCTGCAAGTTCTGAGTTCATGAGTTCATCACGACCTACAATGGAGGGGTTTAGGAAGCTGGACCATATGAAAAGCAGTCCAGTTTTCCTTCAATCAATGTGTAGTAAGGACTATCACTGTGCCTTCTGGTCTGGGCGTCCCACTTTGGGGTATAACCTGGTGGGGGAAGACAGTAATAGATAGGACGGTGTTGGCCACAGAGCTACTGAGCCAACCCTGGCCCCGCAGAGCAGCACTGTTGCATACCCCGGTGCCACCAAAATGGCAAATACATAGACTGCACCCAAATGTGCAAATATTGGAGTAATGTTCAGTAGAAAAAAACAGAATGCAAAATACTCTGTAAATGTCACAGATCCAAAGCTTGTTCACCAAAGTGCTTCCAATCAGAAAGAGCCCTGCATGTCTATTGCAAAATCACCTCTCTGGATCTTTGAAAATAGTTTTGTACACTGATGACACATCCTGTGACAAAAACAGGCTTAGCATGGAATTTGGATCTGTGTGACAAAAATTTTTGGACACTTGAATTTCATTCTTGAGACCACAGTTACAGCCTAGTGGCTGTTTTGCCCCACAACTGTGTTATCAAAGACAGCAGGACGCGTCCTAATCGATGGTCAGGCTTTCTATGGAGAATGACTGCGCCTCACGGGTGTCTGGCTCAATCTGAGTAAGTCATTAACACTCTGAAACTCAGTTTCCTCATCTTTAAAGCCATGGGGAAGAATATTTGTAAGAAACAAGAAGACAGCACTTCAGAAGGCTGTGTGCTCCCTTCCTCCACTCCCCACCTTGAGGAAAAGGCACGTCGGTCCTGCCTAAGCTTTTTACGAGGGTGATACGCTTTCTCCTGTTCTAGAGGATCTGTGCCAACCAGGATCTAGAGAGTTTTTTTTTTTTTTTTTTTTTTTTTGAAAGCAGATAGCTTGAAAGAAAGAAGAGGAAGGGAGGAGCCAAGTTGGCCTGTTACCTTCCTGGTCCTGGTCAGTTAATGACGTAGCCTTGAGGTACTGAGATGTCGGGTCTTGGATTATACTCTGATGGAGGGGGTCATTCAGGGAAAACTCCTTTTGGATGATCCTCTTGTAGGTGTAACTCACATTGCTCTGGAGGAGGCGAGATGCGGACCGGGGCTTGATGGGCTCTGAAACCATTAGTGCAATTTCAGAATAATGTCTACATATGAACGCAGAGGACACATGCACCTTACATGCTAACACGAGCCTAGCCAGCAGTGCTGGAAGGGCAGCAGGCCTAGCTGAGTCCAGGGGAGGAAACAGAGAGATGCAAAGTCAGTCAGTGCTAGACTTCACTCTAAGAGTAGCCTTGTGACGACTTATTTGTTTCTTTTTAAACTGATTTCTCAGGCAATAGTTGTGTGTTTTTTTTTTAAAGAGGTTATTTGTGTGACTTTCTCATTTTTGGTTGTCGAGAGGTTTCTAAGTGGCCAGGAAGACTACCAGTGTCCCTATCTATGTTTTCAAATGAATGCATTCTGAGATCAAAGTTATAAATTCTGAGCAGCAGAAGTGAGTTATTTTTATGTCCTTTCTTCTATTTCCTTGTATTTTAAAGCCTTCTAAGGTGAACATGTATCATTGCTTAGGAATGATCTTAAAAACATATATATATATATCCTGTTTATGTTTCATTAAGGCATGGAGGAAACCCAGGATGATGTTAGTCAACTGAGTTAGATGTGAGGGCTTCCCGTGTACAGGTGTGTGGGCAGGCTACACATCTCCGGGAGCTGTTTTCTCCTATGTAAAAGGAGAGTGTGAGGTTGTTGCAGGGCAAGGAGAGAGTGCAACATTAATAAATGAGTGGTGTTGGTCATATTAATAGAGGTGGCAGTAGTGATAGTGGTGACAGTAACAACGGCTAGCATTTCTTGGGTGGTTACTCTACACCACACGTTATTCTAGTCCAGAAGTTTGAGAGTGATGACTCATTTAATCTTTACAATCAAATGAGGTAGGAACTCCAGGGGAGAGTAAGTATCAGAGAGTAAGGAGGCAGAGCTGGTAAGGAGAGGTTACCCACTAACAGTACAGAACTACTTTCTCCCAACACTCTAAAAGTCACCTGACGTTTACAACAGGCCAAGAAAGGAGCCCAGGAGTGAGGATTCTAGCCTCAGGCCATGCTGATCTCTCCCCCTGGAGAATGGCCAGTTACCCCTCTTTTGGAGGTCAGCAGGCTGAACCCTGGCTGCCTCTGGTTTATTTTGACTCAGACCTCTTAAGAGCTAGAGGCTGAGGACACCTTGTGCAGGGTCCTTACCTTCTTCTAGGTCGTAGGCAATGGCCTCCAGGTCGTCATCGGAGATGGGCTGATGGAAGCTCAGCCGCCTCTTCTTCAGGGTCTTCCCGTTGGCAGACACCAGCACCAGGCTCTCCTTGAAGGTGAGCTTGGATGTCTTCGAGGTTTCCGAGGTGCTCCGAGACATCAGCTTGTCCACGCAGGTCTCACCAAGTGAGTGGTAGCTCGTGGTGTAGAAGGATTTCTTTGAAGAAGAAAAAATGGCCACTGAGTGGCTATGGATGGCTGTGGAAAGGGACTCCTTTCAGAGAGCTACGTTCTGCAGACTGGGTGAGGGGGCTCTCTGGGTGGGTCTGGGACGCCATGCGGACTTTTCCCTCCCTACTTCCTTTCTCTGTGTCTTGGGAAGACTTGCATCCCTCTGACAGCTTGAAAATGAGATGTTGTCACATGCTACATTAACAAATGATCTCAGGAGGGGGCAGCCTTACCAGCCGGTGGTGCCCTTCGGGGGAAGCCTCTACTTGTTAGTGCTTGAAATACAGTCACCTCTGTTCCCAAGGGTTCCGTATTCTCAGAGCCAACCAAGCTCACGTGGAGAATATTTGGACAAGAAATAGATGTTTTCCTCATCTTTATTTCCTAAACCATGCACTCTAGCAATGATATACATAGCAATTGCATTGTGTTAGGGTCCCAAGTAACTTAGAGATGATTTAAAGTACCCAGGAGGATGATTTGTGGAGGTGACTTGCAAATACTAGCTGCCCCCCGTCAGGGTCCTGAACATCTGAAGATGCTGGGATTGCAGGGTCCTGGAACCCATGCTGCGCAGATGCCCAGGGATGGCCAAACTCCTCTGGGAACAGCTTTTAAAGCTGGTGCCACAACACACAAAATAGCACCTCTGGGCGAGGGTTTGAGATTTCTCTCTCAGTCGGTCTGCTTCTCCACCTGGCTGCCTGCCGGGGGGGGCGGGGGGCTGCCCCTCACCTCTGGAGCTGGCAGGAGAGAGGGTGACCACACCAGGTCAGGTCAGGAGACAGACCCCCAGTGGACTGGCCAGGGGGGCCATCTCAGGATGGCCCAGCTAACTGCCTAAAGTCTGGCCCGGGAGCTCTCATGCTCAGGGTTTCAGGATAGTTCTGCTCTGTTCTGGAAAAGCCGGAGAAAGTGAAGAATGCCAGCAACCACCAGTAGAGCCAGGCAAGGGCTGAGCTCCCGAGGTGGAGGAAGTGCTGGGTGACAATCGGCTCTAAGGACCACAGCCCTGGCTCACCTGATGCAGAGACAGATGGTCCATGGTGGAGTTGTAGTCTTCATCTTCACTGTCAAGAAAAAGAGGAAGTCAGTCATTTCCCTGGGCTCACTGGGCATCCTCTTTTAACAGGCCACGCACGCGGCCATGACCGCTACCGTGAGAATCAGGAGTTCTCCTATCCACAGCAATCCCTACTTACTAATTTGGAATTAATCATCTTTAGAACAGGCCTCGTACTTGATTTAGGCCTCACCTGTGAACCTGGCTCGGCTAATGACTTGGAGAGCTTTGTTGAACTTAAGCTCCTGGAGAGAAAAGAGCAACTTTTGCAACAGCAGATAGGTCCTCTGCTTTGGTATTTGCTAAAACAGATTCCACGATGTAAACCTGGCAAAACATCCAGGCAACAACCTGATAGCCCAGTTTGTGTTAGTATTTACCCTGGGTAATGGGAACATCATGAAACACTCCCTCATTTTAACTTTCTGATCACCGAGATCTTTCTTCTGTATTGGAATGAAGTTTGGCTGTGTGCCTTCGGGTGCTTGTATGACCGGGCAGCCATTTCCTCCTCCTCCTGATCAAGATCAAAATCCCTGAGAATGGGTTCTCTCTCAGACAGTGCACTGTATCAGGGCTCAGCTGAGGCCAGAATAAGTTGATGCTGTCCCGGAGTAGGACCCAGCATGCCTCAAAGCTGACTTCTTTTTTGGTACCAGGATTGAACCCAGGGATACTTTACCACACTGAGCCACATCTCCAGCCCTTTGTATTTTTGTATTTTGACACAGGGTCTCACTAAGTTGCTTAGAGTGTCGCTGAATTGCTGAGGCTGGCTTCAAACTGGAGGTCTTCCTGCCTCAGCCTCCCGAGCCTCCGGGATTACAGGTGTGCACCACGGCACCCAGCTAAAGATAACTTTTCTAAAGTGTCCATCTGCCAGCCAATGTAATTTTAGTTTAACACGCTGGACGCTTAGTTTCCCTGGGTTTTTCTTTGAATCTTCTCTGAGTTCAGGGCCAGGGTGCCTCTCCATAGCCTCTGTCTGTTGACCCCATGTAACACCTACCTGGAGTCTAGTAAGCCTTGAACCCCTCATTAAATCACAAGAGGTAGGACATATTTTTTTCCTGTTTTTTATTGGTATGTATAATGACGGGAGTTGCTGTTGTATATTCTTAAATGCACACAATATAACTATAATATTTGGCCAGTATCACTCCAGTGCTTCCTTTTCCCCTCTTCTCCTCCTTCCTGCCTCATTCTCTTTCCTCTGCTCGTCTGATCCCCCTTTGATTTTCATGAGATCCTCCACCCACTTTCTTTTCCTCTTTCCTCTCTAGCTTCCACACATCGGGGAAAACCCACGACCCTGACCTTCTGAGTCCGATTCATCTCCTGGGAGCGTGGGGCTCCGGGGACCTGCTTCTTACCTGTAGCAGTCCTTCAGGTCTTCGAACAGGTCAGGGACTTTGGCCATGCTGACTTCTGCAACAGAGAACAGGGTGCTGTCAGCCAACCAGCCTCCGGCCCTGGCCCTCGGTGGGGAGCTGGCCGCCAGGTCTCCCCCGTTCTTCTCAGTCTCCTGCATCCTCTTCGAGGCCCCTGCCTCCTCTACTCAGCGGGAAGCTCCCTGGAGAATGTCCTATTCCTCTTGGAATTCCTATTGTCCCCAACCCAGTGCACGGCCCAGGATAGACACTCAGTGCTCAGATGGATTAAGACAAAAAACCCCTGAGGATGAAATGCAAATCCAGGGCAGAGACAGAGTGGAAAACTTTCCAGTTTTCTCCTAGAGTTTTAGAGAGCTGAGGTTCCCTCCCGGAGGAAGACACAGCTGTGTCTCAGACGCCCTCCCAGGGATCAGTTTGGCTGCCCCTCAGTTCCCCATCAGTAAAACAAGAGACTTTTCCTGGAACCTGACTGTGATTCTAGCCCTCACACCAAACCAGGGCAGGACAAGAAAAGAAGGAAGGAAGAGGCCAGAATTTTATAGAAGTTGGTCTGAGCGTCAGCAGCCCAAGCCAGAGGTGGAGGAAGGACAGTACCTTTGCCGACTCAAACGCCAAATGACTCCCGCTCTGCCTGGAAGCTCAGACCTGAGTCAGGCTCCCTTGGCCTTTTATAATTGACTCCTTCCAGTAGGTGTGGACTCCTCTCATTGCGTCATGGGAAATTTACAGGAACTCAACTGGCCTTGTGTGTCCATGTTCATTCAAGTTGATACGCTCCAGAATCCAATGGTAGTTTGCAAAGCGTCCAAGGCTGGAAGTTGACTTGGTTCCTTTATTTATTGCTTGCTCCCTGCAATTATAAACATGTAGCCTGAGAAAAAGGGAAGGAGGGCAGGAAGCTTATCAACTTTCTAAAAATAAATTGTGGGGAGGAAGAATAAAAAAAATCCCCAAATCACAAATATAGAAAGCTAGAGTGGCAGGGAGCGTGGTAGCTGTACTTGGTGTTTTGATTTAATTTGTTCACCGGGTCCCAGGGATGAATGTGAACTGGCAGGGGAGCTGGCAGCCACTGGCAGCTACAAGGTGGCCTTTGAGGGAAAATGAACCATTTTTTTTTTTCTGAAGAGGGAGGTTTGCTTGAATCAGACACGAATCTCTTGAGTATGGAGGGGCAGCCTCAGGGCTGCGTTAGGGTAGAGAAAGTGATATTTATCACAAGAGTAATGATCCTTGTACCCATGTCAATTTTGTCAACATGTGTCCCACAGAGGTGACAGAGCTGTGGGAGAGAACCCTCAGCCCCAGCCACATGAAGGCACAGTGGCCCTTGCAGAGTCAGGGGACAGGCTGGTTTTCCCTGGGGGCGAGGCCATGCTGTGTGTGGCTGGATGGGGAGGTGAGGAGTGGCCCAGGCTGAACAAGTGTCTCCATATGGGACGGAGGGCAGGGAAGGGGAGACTTGACCTCGGGGTTCCCTGGTTCTTGTTATTAAAGGCTTTTTTCAGTGTCCCGAGGCCAGCCCAGCTCAGGTGGCAGAACATCAGACCCTTAGCAAATCAACACTCAGGCTCCTGTTGGAGTTTAAACGACGTACATTTCAAATAAAGGAAGGGCATGGAAGGAAAGGGAGAGAGAAAGGTAAAGAGAAAAGGCAAAGGAAAGGGGAGATACAGAAATGGGGTGTCGAAGCGCAGAGTCAGGACCCGGCGGCTGGTAAGAGTGGTATTCGGTACCCCTTTTGGTCCTGCTCAACCGTAAATAACGGGGAGGGTCTTAGATGATACCAAGGTCTATTCCACGTGTGAAATCTCTGATTCTGCTGCCAGTGTAGCTCCTCCTGTGTCCTGACAGTTATGAACAGAGCCACAGGGATGAGCGGCACCTTGGACGGGCACAGGAAGGGAGAGAAGGACAGTAATGGGCAGAGGAGGCTAGGTGGCTCGGGACGGACCCTGTGTGGACAGCGATGGCTGTGGACTTCACATGTGTCCTTATCTTGTCTCCCCGTGGGGCTGCACAGAGATGCTCACCCTGGTCACCCCTGCCTCGGGCATCGTGTGAGGACAATGACCAAGACCGATTGCAGGGCACACTGTGACTGTGGGCTGCTATGGAGATATAAGACAACAAAAATAATAACAATGCTAATGATGGCTTCTGTCACTGGGGAACCTGCGTAGTCATTACTGTGTGCCTCAGGTCGCTGGAGAAGATAAGAGTTCTCCTGGAAATACGTCGGTTTGAAAACTACAACATAGAGGGCACAGTCAGGTGGAGGCCGCCATGGAGGCCCAGGAGCTATCATCTGGTTTCTGGGAACAGAGCAGGCACCTCTTTGGTAATCCAGGAAAATACCCGAGGTGCCATCTGCGGGCACACCCAGCCTGGCCCCATCTTCATCCCTCGGTTGCTCAGAATTCCCCAGATGTGGTTGTTGAATTTCTCAAGGAGAGTCTGGTTGAGAAATAGCAGGCTTGTTTAGCATAGAGCCCAGCTTACCCTTCACATGATCTTCTTAGAAGCAGTTTTATTTTTTTGTGTGTGTGTGGGGTAGGGGCACTGGGGATTGAACCCAAGGGTGCTCAACCATTGAGCCACATTCACAGCTCATTTTATTATTATTATTTTTTTTGAGACAAATTCTCACTAAGTTACTAAGGGCCACGCTAAGTTGCTGAGGCTGGCCTTGAACTTGCTATCCTCCTGCTTCAGCCTCCCAAGCTGCTGGGATGGCAGGGGTAGGTCACTATGCCTGGTCTTAGAAGCAGTTTGTAAGTGAAAGGTGGGGTGGTGAAGGCCGGAGTGAGGGGGGCCTCACTTTCTTGGGAGGAGCTTCTCTGCCAGTGTGCCCAGACCACCTGTTCTGGGGAAGGGAGAGAGAAAGGCACTGGGTGGGGCTTCCCTGTGGTCTGGTATGTGTGGGGCTGGCCTCTGATAGGGACTTGGGGTGGCTTCATATCTGCACCTTTTGACTCTCAGAGAGGAGACCTCAAAAACCTCTCCTTGACTCATTGTCACCAAAATCCTTCAGAAAAAGTTGGTTGTGCATTTGTTCTGGGCCACAGGGTTTAACAGGCACCAGTGTTTTTCTTCTGTGACCCCCCAAAGTAGGTATGATGAGAAATATTTGAAAAAAGTCTCTGTACCAAGCACATGCAGATAGCTTCTTCTTCTTCACGCCATTCCTGAAACGAAGCAGTACCACAAGCAGTCACATGGTGGTTTCCCTGTGGTCAGTAGGGTACGATATCCAGGGAGTGTTCAGAGCCTACAGGAGGATTGCGGGGGTCCCTGGGATACTAAGCCATCTCACGCGGGGACTTCAATGACTATGGATGCCGTTGGTGTGTACATGGGCTGGTGGTCCTGGAACGAGTTCCCTGTGGATATTGCCTTTATCCTGTGGCCTCTCCAGGGACTAGAGCACACACGAGCAGTCACCCGTTGGGGCAACTGAGGTTTTCGCCTGAAAGCCCTATTTCCAGCCCTATTTCCTGCCCTATTTCGTTACCTTCTGCTTTTGAGTCCCATGACAGTTAGGGAGGAGAAGAGGATTTAACCGAAGCCTGCTCCGTTGCAGTGTTGGAGCGCATGATCTCACTTAATCCGCTCATCAGACCTGCGAGGTGGGTATTCTTATCTCACTTTAGAGAAGAGGAAGTCAAGGTCTAGGGGAATGAAGCAACCAGTGCGGCTGGCTTCGAGGCCACCAAGTTGCGGAAATGGGATCCAGACGCCAGGCGGGCTTCACCAAACCACAGGGCCTGCTCTCTTCCTCAGCGCAGCCTCCCCGGGCCCGACTGGCACTCTTCATTTTTACATCTTGTGCTTTGCCGGAGTCTTTGAGGGTCCTAGAATTATACGTGAGAGGAGGATGCGCCTCGGAGACCATGTCGTTTAAACAATTCCCTTTATGCAAGAAGAAACGGGCTTGGAGGGAAGCCCTGTCCCAAGACCACACGGAGAATTCAAAAGAGAGTGAGGGGAAAACTTGCAGCTGTTTATTGAATTCTTGCTCAAAACACGGGACTGCAAAGGGACACAGACTCCTCAGGAAGAGGGAAGGAGAAGAAATGATCTCCATCACGACTTCTCACTCAGATCAGAAGGGGTTACAGAATGTGAAGGGACATGGGACACTCCACGGGGGTGGGATGCACAAGGACAGGGAGCAAACAGCTGTGCTCTCTGCTTTCCTGAGAGCTGACAGCGAAGGATAAACACTGAGGTCGTGACCAGAGGCTTATTCAATGGGGAGGGACGAGGGAACTTTCCAGGCCCAGCAAGACTGTGGGGGATGAGTGGATGGAGGTCACTGAGGCCGGGGTGAGCAAGGCTGGTGGGGAGGACAGCGGGGCAGATGGGCAGACATCTGCCCAGGTCTTCATGGGGATCCATGTGGGTCACAGGTGAGCTTTTAAAGGACACTTCTGCCTTCAAAAGCAAATTGGAGGATGCAGAGCAGTAGATGGTGACGGGGGCTTCATAGAGAATGAGACCGTTTCCGCAATGTATACCTGGAAACCTGTCCTGCCACTGTGACTCAAGCTTGCGTGACCACGACCTCGAGGGCTCTGCACGTTCAGAGAGTAGAGGGCGGCTGTGCAGGGGGCGGGGAGACTTAGAAGGTGGCAGAAGCCGGCAGCAGTGGATGGCAAATCTCCACTTAGCCGGCACCCTTTGTTCCTTTGTCCCCTAATTTATGGGCCGTTTGGCTTCTAAATTCCCTTTCCCTCTTCTCTGGAGATGGTGATTCACAGAGCCCGGCCCCCTCTTTGCCCTCTCTGCGGATGCCCTTAAAACATGAGTTCACCAGGAGCTTCCTGGGTGGCAACCGTCCTGTCTGGGCCTATCTCTTACCTGCCTTCCTGCCCAGCTATGGTTATCCAGTCAGAAGTGCATTTGTAAAGAATTCTTCTTTTCTCTGGAATCGTTCTCCTCGTTGGAGTCATGGTTACCTCTGGTCTGAACTTGGTTCTCAACTTCAAAAAAATAACTTGCATTACTTTTTTCTATTCTGAAGAATGAATTCAATATTGCTAGGCTGGGGAAATGCAAAAATATAAAGAAGAACGTAAAATCTGCCAACAATTTAATAACTAGAGAGAATCACTACGACTCTCCTTGGCCCATAGAGATTTCTTTTCAGACCACCAGGATACTCTGCATTCTTTAAATTTGCTGTCTGGGGAACAGATGGGGTGGACAGTGCTCACCAAGCCTCCATCTGTTCATCTGTGGGGCGGTTTGAGGATGACATCTTAGTCTTCTGGTCTCCCCTGGCGTGAGGCTGAAGACACCTGGTGAGCTCTGGCCAATAACTGGGAGCAGTGAGTGACTGGTGCATGATGCCTCTGTGCGGGTGCACTCTGGGCCAGCCTGGCCTGGGTCAGGAATGACTTCCCCTGAGGACTGTCAGTGGTGAGGTGGGCCTGCCATGCATGGGAATGGAACAACCCTTTTGGGACTTTGCACCCGTGAGAAACGCATCTGT